TTTATTAATCAACAAGAAACAGAACAATCTGTCCTTAAAGCTAGATAATTGCCCCGTACTCAAATGCTTGAATCATTATAATCTGACAACTAAATCCTAGCTGAAATGCCATTGCTAAGGTCCTGAACCTTCACAGACAAATGCGAGTCCACTATTTATAAATCGATGGAAGGCTTTTTATGCAAATAATATGTTCAGTCCTAGGACAGTAAATGCCCAGCCATCTTTTATTTTAAAACAAGCAATGCAATACGAAACTAACACATTGTTATGCCTAATAGGCTAATACCATGTTCAACATCACCTTTGAAAATCCTATAAAAATCAATATTTCCTCACTTAATTGCTCAGTGGTTAAGCAGAGCCCCACGAAGCAATCCCACATACTTTCTAGCCCTAAAAGTTTGGCCCATCTAATGTATGTATAATGTATATATGACTGAGCCGCTTAAACCAGCATTCTGAATTCTATTGAATAATGGACACGGCTTAGTAAAATATGCACATGTGTGCATTGATTAATTAAGCTACACTTGCGGAGAAAGATTGGACTAGAAAGTTGCCTTTCAAGCATACGCTACACTTGGCAGCCTTGCATCAAGCTATTTTCTTTTCTTCACATACAATTTCTAGAGAAATCCTGCCTAATCATTGTGTGAAGACAACAAGGAGCAAAAATGTAGTATAATTGCTTTAAGTGGTTCCCTAAGCATATCTTATGCTACAAACTACAGGCTTTTTTCATCAGAAAACTACTCCGTGCATCAATGACACAGTTTTGATGCACTCATGTCAATATCTTTTCTTTGATATGCAAAATTTCCATCTTAAAAAATCCTTAGATGATCACATGTTAAACAAATTATTCTCAATCAAGATAGTGATGAAATCTAGTATCCTGCAGTAACCAATGAAATCACATAATTATACTTGAAGAAGCCAGAAACATGAAGAACCCAGCAAATCGAAACATATCAAACGAACCCAACANNNNCGAAACATATCAAACGAACCCAACAAAAATTCGAAGAAAAAACAAGAAATCGAAGAACATAAATTACAATTAAAAAAATAAAAAATGAAACTTGAATAGTATATAGTCTATCTATTTGTAGTTTCAAGGTCAGAACTCAGAACTCTATGGCCACAGATTTGGCATCACTAAGTATATTCATATATTATCAAATTGCTTCAACCCTTTCCTTGTTTTGTTTCATTTTTATCTTTCCGTCCCCCAATCACTTTTCCAGACTCTTAACTCCAAGAATTTTTAGAAAAGAATTCGCTGATCAATAACTAAAACTAGAATTCTCATGACCTATTTCTTGACAACCCTTTTAACACATTTAGACCATTAAAGGAAAAAGAAAGAAAAAAACTGGAAATTGGAAAAGGGGGAAAAATAAAGGCAAGAAACCAAGACATACAGGCACAGGTAAACAAACCCAAACAATTACTACTATCAACACACACAAGCTCTTCTCCATAGAGACGAAAGAAAAAAAACAGAGAATCAAGGGCAGTACCTTAGAAAGAGTTGAGGGATCTTTCTGGGTTGTGGTTACGTGAGATTGGAAATGGAAAATCAGTGGAAGGTTTGGATTGTGGGTACCTGAGATCTGAAATGGAAAATGAGCCGAGACGGGAGAGAGAGGATAAGGCTGAAGTTGTTTCCCGTGTTTTTTGAAAATACCGTGTTTTGGCTTCAAAACGACCAAAACGTGATTTTGGTCGTTTTGTGTTTCCAGTGCAAATTTTTTTTCCGTTTTGAAAATCATGTTTTCGAAAATAGAAAAGAGAACGCGTTTTCACTGTTTTGAAAAATCGAAAACAGAAAATGGCTTGAAAACGGTAAAGAGAACAGGGCCTAAGTTTTTCAATGTTTTATAGCAACTTGGACTCGTTGACAATCCTATGAGTGAGAATAGTTGACTCCTTTTTAGGAACCAAATTTAGAAAACTAATTATCAAAATTCTTAGAAGTATAAGATAATATTTCTCCTTTTCAATAATTTCAATTACATCTTTCCGAAACACATTTACAACTTTGAACCAAAAAAAATAAAAAGAACTGTAAGATTTACGACATTTTCCTAAATCTCACACATACATATGTATATTCACATAATTGTCAAGTCGTAACTACTTTCCCAAATTCGCAAAATCTCTACCTTTGGCGGCTAGCTTTCCGAATCCTGGCAGTAAAAATAAGGAAAATGCT